ACAAAGTTTTAGTCATAATCGTAAGGTTGTAAGAAAATAGACCAATCACAGTCGATTATTCTCCTCGCGCTTGAAGAATAATCGAGTGTGATTGGTCTATTTTCTTACGGCCTTACGATTAAGGCTATGGTCAATGTGACGCTACAAACGCTTTGGAGCGTTCTTCTTCTCTTTCTTTCTTCATTGAAAGAAAAGAGAAGAGGAATGCTTCGAAGCATTTGTAGCGTCACATTGACTGTAGCCTAAAACTAAAACTTTGTTACGTGCAATGGCCTTAAGGCTGCGTTCGGAATAGCACCTATATTATATTCTTATGTCTATGGGCAATACCCAGCCCCAGCAGTACCCAGGATACCCAGCTTGCCCCGCGGCGCTGTTTCGGGTTCATGTTCATGTTCATCTTCGTTCTACCGCTACCGCCATCATCACGAAAAGCGACAGTGAGAGAGGTTGATTTACATCGGTGTTTCTTTCGCGTGTCGAGTTACGTCCTATCGCAAGCTGTACAAATGAAGATGGTGGATAAGATTGAAATGAGTCTGGATGATATTATCAAACAGACCAAAGGGTCTAGGGCGCGCGGTGGCGGCGGCGGCGGTGGTGGTGGCGGCGGCAGACGCGGCAGAGGCGCCGGCAGCTCACCCCGTCGAGGAGCACGTAGGGCACAGAGAGCCGGTGGTGGCGTCATGCGAGGACGCAATCGCGGTGGAATTGCACGCAGCTCTCTACCATACACGAGGGTAAGATATCCAGTTTATCATCGAGCTTTTGACTATTGAATCTTTTCGTATTATACGACCAATCTTCGCTCCATTTTCTACGTGTGCATATGCGCGCGCGCGCGCATGTGTGTGTGTGTGTGTGTGTGTGTGCGCGCGCGCGCGTTTAGAGCTATGTGCTTGTATTACACATATGTGAAGTAACACGGAGTAACTTCAAGTACTCACCTATATGACCATTTACAACTTTGAAAAGATGGTGTAGATGCCTACTTACAATAAAAATTACTCTTCAAGCTTGTTTTCTACAGTTTTCTCTGCCTTCTTCCTCTTCTTTTTTTTCTTTACTTATATACTTGTATAGTTTCTTCTCGCTTGTTTATGTAACTTGACTTGATTTTAATACAGAAAATATATAACAATACAGTCAAGTGAGATAAAGCTCATATCTATGAGGTGTAGTTTGTGTGTCGACTACTTACAACATGTTAAAAAACAGTTTTCTCCAAAGAGTCTACAATGAAAAGTTGTATCGTATCATCAGTTGAGGAATATTAATGAAGGAACAAGATTTTATTTTATTTGATAAAGAATATAATACTTTTCCAACAGGGATTAACACGTTATATTTTATTGTACAGGGTGATGTAAACAGTGCTTGGAAACACGACATGTTTGACGGTGTAAAAAAGGTTGGTCGTGGTGCAATAGGCAATGCAGGGACAACCAAACTTTTGGTGTCAAATCTTGATTTTGGTGTATCAGACTCAGACATACAGGTAATAGAATAATGTACATGAGATAATTTTTGATCAACATATTGAGCACCACGTAATTTAAAGTTAAATTATTATATTGTGAAACCATTTTCTTTTAATTTTTAATATATAAGAATCTATATTGATATTTTTAAATAATAATATTTTTAATGTAATAGAAATATTTGGTATCGGTTCGACGCGATACTGTCGATGATTGAAGCAGTTGTTCAATATACTAGATAAAACAAATTTAATATATTTATCAAGTGTCACATGTGGCGCTAAATGCAATGATATGTATGTAATCTACTGGTATATCGACATATGGATTTTCATTAAAAAAAAATGAATATTTTATCGACGACCGCGTAACCTAACATCAACGCATTAACTTTGATGTAAATTTGATATTAATTAGCATTTTTCTATATAAAGAACCAACTATAATGACGTTTTCCAGGAATTATTCAGTGAATTTGGACCTTTAAAATCAGCAGCGGTACATTATGATAGATCAGGTCGATCTCTAGGCTCTGCTGATGTCATATTTGAAAGACGGGCGGATGCTATTAAAGCAATGAAGCAATATCATGGAGTACCGTTAGATGGTACGTGTTACTTTGAAAAAATGTACACACGTCCATTTGTGTGTGATACGTGTGACATATAACGTACAATCTACGTACGCAAATATTTCGCATCTATTGGTCCAATATATAATATATAATGTATTAATCGACAGGTCGTGAAATGAACATACAAGTAGCTACTTCCGAACTACCGGTCACTTCTGTCCGTGGTGGTCCGAGACTTAGCGGTGTTAATTATACACAAAGACCTCAGACACGTTTTAGAGGAAATCGTGGTACAGGATCTGTTAGAGGTAACTTGATAATATACTTGACAATATATATTATCTTGATAATTTATTTATGCAAATCAACCAATGGCAAAATTGATGGAAATATATGTACATGTGACATATATATTACATATTACACGTAGAGATTTCTCGTTAGCTCTAATGATGTTGTAATTTTATGGTATGGATTAAAAGGTCGTGGGAGTGGTCGGCGTGGAGGTAGAGGAGGCATTCGACAAGCGACAAAGACACCTACGGCCGAAGAATTAGATGCAGAACTGGAAGCTTATGTGAAAGAAGTCAAGTAACAACGTCACAAAATTCTGCTGTATTCAGATTTGGTTCAATCTGACTAACACGATACACATATTGTTGCTCTTTCTTTCATCAAGTATACAGTTATAAATACAATCCTATTAAGATTTAGTAAGATAAAAGTTATAAAAAAAATTTAACTTAGTTTTTATTTTTGACGATTCTCTCGAAAATTGGCACAGCAAATTTCACAAAATCTTTGCGAACTCATCATTCGTAGAAGTTTATAGATTTTTTTAATGAATAATATAACAATATAATATAACAAGAAGTGAAAAAAAAAAGAACATACCTATGATTGTAAAGACTGTATGAATTTGTATGTACTACCGTGCGTGTGTGTTCACCAGATGAAAAATACAATGAGATACATCTCGAAAAGTTGTTGTTTATCATCAAAGTACAGAATGTGCTTCTAGCCCTCACAATCTGATTATTCCAAATGCTATGTTAAATATCAGAAATTTATTTGCCACACCCATCTTTAGGATAAAATTTACTGCGGGATTTTAGAGTACAAATGACGATATATAACATTTTTGTAACTTGTGTGTCCACTGTGGATTGTTTCTTTAGCATAAATATAAGCATTATATCACTATGCGTAGTGCATAGCTAATAGTGGATTAAGGCTGTGACGTACTGTGTTAACTAGTGTCGGATATTGACGATATACTTTAATGCAGTGATGGATATGTAAGAACATGTATACATTTTTAATTATGCAGCGTACGAATAGCAATCAAACGGCGCAAGACTGAAGAAAAACTAACGACAGATTCTCTCAATAAAAAGTTATTCTTAAAAGAAAGCTTGTATTGTCCATCGAAGAGGAAATTCTCAATATTTGAGTGACGTTTAGTTACCCTTTCACATCCACTACTTGATCCCGTATCCACTTCTTTTTTCTTTTTGTATAAAAATTCTTTCGAGTCGTTTCTTCGAATACTTGATTATGCTTGATAAGAAATACATAAAAATGTACATACAAGGTAGTCAAAGCATTTGCCATCGGATGAACTGCAACACTCGTCAAGATCGACGCAAAAGATACTCTAGCACATAGAAGATCATTTTTTCTTTATTTCACTCAAGTAATCACATCGTATCATTCTGTACATATGTAAAAATATTTGCCAACAGATAGTATAGAGCAGATTTCTACGTCGGCCCATGACGGTAGTAGATCTATCTACTAGACGTGTACTAATCTTCCACGCAAGGTGGATAAATTTTTTGTTTCTATTATTTTTTTTTCTTATTTTTGCGTAACTAGACATATTAAATTCTTTATATACTTAATAATAAGATCAGTCGAGTTTAGATAATAAAATTTTACTATGCAATAATAATTGTATACAATACGAGGCAACATTATCATACTAGTTTATTTTAAATTACAAAAGACAGATAAATAATATTGATTTTCCTTATAATCTCTTCAGTGTCCTCTTCTTATCTTTTAACATTTTTTTCTTTTCCGCCGTTAACTTCTTGTCACTTGCGTGCTTTTTTGGAAGAGGTCCACCAGTTTCTGAAGAGGCGCAACTTTCCAGACCTGCCTTGCTACCTTTTCCACCTCCCTGCAGAGATAAAATAGTCGCTCGTAAAAATTGTGCAACAGTGAAACTGAGAAAAAATGCGCTCAAAAGTCTTTGCAAGATAAGACCTGTACGTTACCTGTGCGTGTATCTCTGTCATCATTTTCGCTCGTTCTGAATATTCGTCGTGACTCTCTAAAAGTAATTTGCCAGCTTCCTCGTTCAAAGCAGATTCTGGATTTGGCACTATCAGTAGACATTTTATAGTCTAAAAAAATATAAAAAGAAAAACGTAAGATGTGAACAAGCGTTTATGACATATATATATATATATATATATATATATGTATATAGAGAGAGAGAGAGAGAGAGAGAAAAGTCCCCTATTATGAGATAGGGATCCTAATGTGAGATGGCGGGGTTTCTTCATGGTGGAATCGACAGATGGGACCTATATAAGGCCTTTTAGCTTAACATATCTCATATTAAGATCCTGTCCTACGAGGGGACTTTCTTCTACATGTATCGATGTATATACATATATACATATCGCGTTTCGGTGATCACTTACCAATAATATATGTTGTATTCCGAGATCCGGCTTCCAATCCTTTTTTAAAGTATTAACACATATTTCGCCGTTTTTCGCTACATTAGGGTGGAAAATCTTTGTAAGGAAGTAAGCCTTTGGCGGCCCTTGCGGAAAGTCTTTTCCAAGAACTAATTTCACTCTAAAGAACCCACCGGCATACGGAGTCCCCGCTGTTGGAAAAAAAAACCAAAAACATTTAGCGTACCTACTCATGTGTGTTGCATTATTTGAACAATCAAAGCAAAAGACCGAACGTTGCAAGTATGCAGAGAGCCGTATGATCTCGACATAGATGAACAATACGAGTCATGACATGCGAGTCGGAGTCGGAGTCGGAGTAGCCGTGGGGTTAGGACGGTAGAGGCAGGGTTAGGTTAGCTAACGTTAGATGTATGGTCGATAAAAGGATACTTTACTCGGAAATATCGGTCTCACCGTCAAAGGAGCGACAAGGTGCGAAAAAGCGCGGCCAAATAAGGGACAAGCGATCTTACCTGGGCCCTCGATGACGGCTTGTATGTCGGTGACGTCGGCCTCGTTCAAAATGACACGAATACCTTCGGGGGCTTGCGTGACCAACTCTGCCATCTCCTTGGCCACCCGGCGGATGATTTGCGGCGACAGATTTTCCACATTCTGCAAAAATGTATGACCGATCTTACGTACGATCGAGATTTCAACGGAGATGGAAGCACGCGTTAAAACACGCGCGAGACGTAAACAAGAAGGCGCGTTGTTATTACGGCAGCGGCGGCGGCGGCGGCGGCGGTGACTTTGGCGGCAGCGGCGGGACGCGGGACGCCGCGATCGCGACGAACGAACGCTACATTTTCGTTCAACGATAACGGACTTGATAGCGGATACTCACGGAGCTCACGGCGGCGGCAGCCATAATCGCCGGAAACTCGGAGCGTGATCTCGGCCAGGTCTCTCGCGCACAGCTACGTGATTTTCCCAACTTTCCGGCGCACAACGTAGGAAAACGCTTAACGTCACAACATCAGCACGGCATCGCCCGCAATAACCAACATTTTGAACTGACAGCCAATCGCGTGCCAGGTTCGACCGTACTCTCGAAGCCAGAAGTCGATCCTTTCTTCCCTCTCTGCGCCGCCGTCGCTGTCGTCGCCACCACCGCCACCACTACCATCACTGGCATCACTCGGGTTCCACTGTTCACCGCGCGGCGCGCGCCACCGCGGCCAGTCCCCACTCAGTACCGACGCGACGCGACGCGGCGAGCGGCAACGCGCAGTGCGCACTAGTCACTAGTCACTCTACTCTCTCTACACTCCTCACCACTCCTAATTCCGGCTCGAGTTGTGCGTTGTGCGTGTTTTTTTTTTAATTTGGAAGCGCGCGCACGGGCTCGCCAGCGTTGTTGATTCCGAGCAAACCGATTCTAGATTCTAGTTCTAGCCAGTTCTAGCTACCGGAGCTACCCCTCGACACGAGATTGTATGTAGATTTATAGAGTAGATCGACTCGAGATGATGGTACGTAGTGAGTAAATACGAAATACGGAATAGAAGCCGCCAGTTCGCCAGTGTGGAACGAGGACTCTCCTCTATTGCCATTGACTCCTACAGTCCTACGTGTGTCGCAGCACATCGTCCCCTCCAGCTATCCCCGCAGCTATAAAGCGAGTTAAAACGCCGCTCTCGTCACACGAATCATCACGAATCTTCACGCGATGACGGACGACGGGACGGTCGAAAAGGTGAGTGTGCGATTCGACATTCGGAACCAACTGACAGATAGGAAACTCCTCTCTGTCTTAAATGACACACGCTTCTGTGTGTAGCATAGCAAAAAATCAATGACAGAGCGAGTCAGCGAGACTCTGCTGCGAGACTCGATTTCGTTGGCTGACGATACGATGTTATCCTAGGAAAAACACATGAAGCAGTTGAAGCGGAAGATGGAATGCTGGCGGGAGATAATTCTCCCTTTGAATTCCATTCTCTTGTGGGAACGCAGCTGGCATCCCGGGCTGATTGTCGGACTTGTAACGCTGATATTTTGGTAAATCAAGTCTCGATCTTATATAAAAATGGCACATTAAGGCGTTAAAAGTAATTTGTTTTTCTTTTTCTTCAATTTGGACGTGATTTCTCCTAGATAAACATTCCAGAATATTCATAGGTTTCTAGCGTATATATACATAGAAAGAATTAAATTAAAAAATAGAGGAGCAAATGTGAGGCAAAATTATGTCCTGTGGTTAATTGTTTAAGGTACGTGTAGGCTTTAACACGTTCTATGCCGGACACCGGTGACCCATGCGACGTGTTTGTTACAGTGCATTATTATAATATAAATTGTATTCCATAATGATTACAAAAGTAAAAGAATTATTATTATGAGAAAAAGTATAATGTATGTGTGAGAAATGCAGTGCAAAACAAAGGAAATGTTTTTATGAAAAATTTATTTAATATTAACATGTACGATGTAAAACTACTTGATAATAATCAAAAATGCCAAAACGTCAAATGGCCTGAACGGCGCAAGTCCAGGGTGAGTCCCACTGCTGCAGGTGATGCCCACACGGCACGGAATGTGTTAATAAGACTTGACGAACGCCCTAAATAAGCTTTATTAAGGTTTAAGATTATTAATATATATGGCCCTTGCATAAATTATTAAAATCTTGCGTAATGTTTTATATCGACAACGTATGTAAATCGCCATCACCCTTTATATACAATATAATATTTGTTTAACAAGTATTACTTCTGAACGTAGCTCCCAAAAAAAGCTGGATTACAAAGGCATATTGATGGCTTTGAGATATCATAAGGAATATAAACTTGTGTTTTGGAAAATAAATACACATGTATAAAATAGTAATGTCTCTCTTATTACAGTACTATATGGATTCTAGAACCAGCTCTACTGACGATGATTTCCATATGTCTACTGATATTCGCTCTCGTCGATTATCTCGTGCCGATTTTGACCTCGATCTTATGCAACGCGCAAAGCTGGACAGGACAAAAGGAGAAGAAGTTGATTGAGATTTGTCAAAATGTCTCTGCCACTATGTTGCAGATGCAAGGTACATGGACATCTATCTCGAAAATTCGACACGATCGCCCCAATATTGTAAGTGACGTTCTCTCAAAACTATGTGACTTGTACAATAGTTGAAATAAGAGTCTTTGCATGTCTTTCTTTCTTTCAAGAGAGATCATTTCAATTTACTGACTGCTGGATATTTTTGGCTATTTGAAAATATACAGATTTCATTTCCATATTTTAAAAGTAAGTGAATTACGCGTAACATATTTCTTATTCTTATCCGCAGTATTATAGCGCAACGATCCTCTTTCTCATTTTCTTCGCATGGATCGGTAACACGGTCAACAATTTGCTTCTGCTTTACATCATAGGTAATACAAATTTATATATATTTATCACGTTATCCAAATGCTCAAAATCTTCTGTATCTTATATCGTGCCGTTTATCTTTTAGTGATTGCGGTTCTTCTCACGCCAGGGTTCAAACACAAAGGACGAGCGCGCTGGGCCGTGAAATACGTCTATGATCACTCAATTCGTCGTCATTTATCATAATCGTCGCGTTTCGTATGTTGTCTCGTGTACCCACCGAATCTCTTCGTTCTACATAGTTTTAATCCATGCTCTCTCAATATAATATTTTTCCTTAATACTAGGATCCATTAATGTACAATTTTACATGTATATTCACCGGGAACGATCGTGTATATTTGCGCGTCACGTTCGTTCCAAAAAGAATATAGTCAAAAGTCTCCGCGCTTCTAACGATACAAAAGATCAGTATATAATGTATAGTCCACTAACAAAGAAGATACAATTATACTTAATCGATCGCTATGGTAATATCGTATTCGTCAATGTGATTTTATATCTTTTAAGTATAATTAATTATAATTTATAAGTCTGCCATATTATCTCGTCATTTTCAGGAATTAATAAAAAACTGTTTCGTCTTTCACTAAATCTTGGTCATAGACCGTTTTACTTACACGTAGACGTGTGTGCACAGCTTTTTATTGTTATTGTTTCTTCTCTGCAGGATGAAATATACCGATCTGTTGAAATATATTGTTTTGTACAACTGAAAGTCTTTTTCGTATCGTACGTGCGACGTTAAATGACTCGAAAAAATCAGATACTTTAGCTGATGCAAAACACACATATACAAGCCATTTCAAGCGCTGTGCTGTGTGGAAACTATATTTTCTTAACAAAAAAATGTCGAGACAGTTTTCAAATATTATAGTTGGTAATCGAAACTAAAATAAAGAGATTCGTCGCTAATAAGAGAAGGGAGTAAATGAGCGATAAAAATTACATTAGTGGATTAAAATGGACTTGATTATAATTTCAATTCTATTCAAAATTTATTTACGAAGCGTGCAGCGTCCTATTACGTGAAAGTTGGCAAATTGTAACAAACATTGGCTTTTTCTCAAGGGTAATAGAGGCCATAGCGAACGCTATATCTGGCGGCGAGTTTACCGCGTTCACTTGACTCCAGGAAAGGTCTCCTTCTTCAAGGAAGACTTGATAAATTCGCTCTAAATTGGTAGAAGACGTTCAACCACACGAGTGTGATCAATTCAAATATGATAAATGAATATATGGATATTAGTTTTGCTAATGAATATATTTATCGTCCTCCGGCCACGCAAAGTAATCATCATCGAATATCGAATGTAAATTGTAAAATGTTTCCTAACCTCTTATCACTGTGTTCGTTCCTTTCCATATACACGTCCTTCCAAAGTGCAGAGTCCGATGGCAACTGTACTGTTACATCCACAGTGTTACTAGTTCGCGATAATGACGAGCAATCTTCGTGAAAGATATAATACAGTTATGGTAAATGCGAAAAACGTAGAGAAATGAGACGATGTTTGTTCTGGAGTTTACTTCGTAAGACTCCGCTTAAATTACTACTTTAAGTATGAAAGATTTTGCAGCATCTATTAAAATTAAATTTGTCGCTTTATTTTTGTTAATTACACACGTGTGAGTTGAAGTAATTAAGATAACGCAAGGTTGCAAGATTCTTTCGAAAGAGATCATGGATATCGTTGTAAAGTTGAACGAGCAAACGGCAGGGAGAGACAAAATAATCAGGTATATATAGGTATATGATCATTTTCATTGAACGTTACTCTCTTTTTATGCATTCGACGATATGACTCTTCGTTTCTTTTCATTCTTTTCATTCTTGTATGCCAGCTCAAGTATTATAGGTTATGTTCCGTGTGTACGCCGTTGTGCTCTTGAATGGATTTTGTACGTTCTCGTTTCTAAAACGTCAAACAATCTTTTGTTTACCACGCAAAATTCCACAACTCGCGTGGACTAAATTTTCATCAACAGATTCTCTGATGACGTGAAATGAAATCATCATTCATATTATAGCTTTTAATGTCGCATATTTTTGTGGTTAAGTGTCTTTTAATTTTTCTGAAATTTATTTTAAAAAAAGTAGCATTAAGCGAAGGAAACGTAACGTTGTGTTTAGATATCTTTTTAAAGAGTCGGTGATGAACCTTTGCTCTCAGCTGTCCATCACTTGAAATCGGAGACTTATAGCGAATTCGGACGCTTGCACTAGTGCACACTGAGTGCGCACTAAAGCTTGTTTATAATCTAATTCTTATATTTAAAGTCGCTTAAATACACGTTTAAAAACTTTTTAGCCAATAAAACAATCTGTAATTTCTATATGGATGCTGTACAAATCATTTTACAGTAACTAATAAGTATTTAAGATGATCTGTAAATATAACAATTGATTAAGAACAAGCCTTAGTGCGCACTCAGTGTGCACTAGTGCAAGCGTCCGAATTCGCTATTAACAGAGGAGCTTTTCAATCGTTTTATTAAGACGTATAAGAGCTTCAAATTTTTAAGAATCGGAGACGAACTGTCATTATAGTATTAAAAAATTGTGGATTGCGAAATACTATCTACATATGCTTTCAACAATATTATCAGAAATAATATCAAAGGTATATATGTCTGTTGCAGGTTACTACAATATGGAAGTCGAGCATATTGGTACTACGCTCAAAATATGCATAGCACAAGATACTCCGCAGAAATTTTAAGGAGTTTGGAATTCACTTTTAGCTCATTTCGAAAACGTACGTAACTTGACGGTTTGTAAAGAACATTTCTTATAGCTGACAACGTAATGTCATATATAGTTTTTTACTTCTTTCTAGTACTGCGCTTTGGAAGATGCTTAGACAGCTTCTATTCTGCCCTAAAAATGATCAAGTATCCCGATCCTACGGTTCGAATAACATTAATCGTGGCAAAGATAACAAATGCTTTGTACTTGATGGCAGATCATTTCATCTGGATTGGCAGAGTAGGAATTTTACGTGTCGATCTAGAAAAATGGAATAAAGTTGCTAATAAATATTGGCTACTAACCATCGTTATGAGTTTGACGAGAGATATTTACGAGATTGTCAAGATTTTGGGACACGAGAAGACGGCATTTAAACAACATCATATATTATCCTGTTTAAAAAATCACAAAAAAGTGATGATGGATACAGTTAAAAACGGATGTGATTTATTCATTCCATTGACAGCATTAGGTGTCACAAAATGTACTCCAGGTACAATAGGTTTTCTTGGGATAATTTCTTCCTTGATTGGTTTGTACACAATTATCGATCCACTTTATAAGTTGTCCCCATCCTAAGACGATTCATAAACTCGTATACTCACTCGTCGTACTCCTATACGATGGTATACGCGTATAATGTATATATTCTTTATGTCATTCGTACATGATGTACACATATATGGTTAGAGAGAAAGAGAGAGAGAGAGAGAGAGAGAGAGAGAGAGAGAGAGAGAGAGAGACAGTTGCGCACAAGTGTACATAGAAACAGAAGCAATATTCTTATATTAAAATGTTGAACACGTTTATACGTAGTTGTGATTAAATGGAGAAAATATATGGGATTTATATATATTTTTTTCCTTTTTTTTTTTTTT